TCTTGGTCTGGGTGATCTTGGTCTTGATGATCTTGGTCTGGGTGATCTTGGTCTGGATGATCTTGGTCTGGGTGATCTTGGTCTGGGTGATCTTGGTCTGGGTGATCTTGGTCTGGGTGATCTTGGTCTGGGTGATCTTGGTCTGTATGATCTTGGTCTGGGTGATCTTGGTCTGGGTGATCTTGGTCTGGGTGATCTTGGTCTGGATGATCTTGGTCTGGATGATCTTGGTCTGGATGATCTTGGTCTGGGTGATCTTGGTCTGGGTGATCGAGGTCTGGATGATCTTGGTCTGGGTGATCTTGGTCTGGGTGATCTTGGTCTGGGTGAACTTGGTCTGGGTGATCTTGGTCTTGATGATCTTGGTCTGGGTGATCTTGGTCTGGGTGATCTTGGTCTGTATGATCTTGGTCTGGGTGATCTTGGTCTGGGTGATCTTGGTCTGGGTGATCTTGGTCTGGATGATCTTGGTCTGGATGATCTTGGTCTGGATGATCTTGGTCTGTGTGATCTTGGTCTGTGTGATCTTGGTCTGAATGATCTTGGTCTGGGTGATCTTGGTCTGGGTGATCTTGGTGGATGGAAGGTTGGATAGAATAATGGATATATGGATTGAAAGACAGGTAGGTGGATGCGTAGTGAGATGGATGGATAGACTGATACATATATGGATAGATAGATGATAGATGGATAGATATATAGGTAGATGGTCAGATGGATGGATGGATGGTTAGATGGATGGATATATGATTAGATGGATGGATGTACTGATGGGTAAGTGGAAAGGTAGATGGATAGACAGATGGACAAATTGATAGAGATGGATAAAATGATATTGATGGCTATATGAATAGATAAATGAGTGGCTGGATGGATAGATAGATGGACAAATTGATGGAAAGATGGATTGACAGACAGACCGATTACTATATAGACCGATGACTATATAGATAGTTGGATAGATAAATCTATATATCCATCTATCTATCCACATATTTATCCACCTATCTATCCACATATTTATCCACCTATCTATCCACATTTATCCACCTATCTATCCCTCTGTCTATCTGACTATATATGCATCCATATGCATCTATTTATTCATCCATTTATTTATCCATCTTCCTGTCCATCTTTCGCTCTATCCAATTATCTCTAGATCCATCTATTCATCCATCTACGTATCCATATATCTTTCTTTCTAGCCATCTATATTTATGTATCCATCCCTCCACCTATCCATCCATCTATCTATCCATCTATAAACTGTCTTTGCCAGGGCTATCTGTCTCTGTGTCTCTCCACCTGTCAGTCTCTCCCTGATACAAAACAATAACTGTCTCATGTGTGGAAGGTCGTGACTGTGAGGAGCTCAGTGGTTGGAAATATTATATAAAGAACAGTTATCCTTAACTGTGGCAAAGATCCGGGGCCCCTGAGGAACCGTTGACGCTATGGAAGAATCGTCTGGTTTATGCCAGTACGGGCAAATTGTGAATAGCAGGAAATTTCTGGTAATTTTCCCAGGATCAGAGAGTAATGACGCATATTAGTATAAGATTTTTTTTTAAGTTTGCTTGCCAGCTACACAATTGTCAAAACAGTGTCCAAAATCGTCGTGGGGGTGTAAATGTCACCCCCAGGAACCCTGTTCCCTTTTGAATTCTGGCGACCCCGATTCAACCTATGTTTATCCCCAACCCCAGACCAATTCCTGTACCAATTTTGGTGAAGCTAACCTTCTACCGTGTGGCCTCCAACTTCGAACAGACACAGGCACAGTCATTAACTTTTAAGGGTTAATGTAAGAGAGAATGTATGTCTATCCGTTTGTTCAAGTTGGCAGAGGGAATGGTCTGGGGTGGGGGATGAACATAGGCTGGGTCAGGGTCGCCATCATTCGAAAGAGAACCGCGTGTCAGGGTCATATTCAGACCCCCACGACCATGCCTGGCGCTGCCCGCCGGCTGCACACTTAAATATTGTCAAAACTAACTTTTCAAAACATTATTTCTTATAGTAATATGCCTCATTATTCAGTTGGGGGCCTGAGCCTAGGGACCTGAGCCTGGGGGCTGAGCCTGGGGGCTGAGCCTGGAGGCTGAGCCTGGGGGCTGAGCCTGGAGGCCTGAGCCTGAGGGCTGAGCCTGGGGGCCTGAGCCTGGGGGCTGAGTCTGGGGAGACTGTCTGGGGGCTGAGCCTGGGGGGACTGAGTCTGGGGGCTGAGCCTGGGGGCTGAGCCTGGGGGCTGAGCCTGGAGGCTGAGCCTGGGGGCTGAGTCTGGGGGGGCTGAGTCTGGGGAGACTGTCTGGGGGCTGAGCCTGGGGGGACTGAGTCTGGGGGCTGAGCCTGGGGGCTGAGCCTGGGGGCTGAGCCTGGAGGCCTGAGCCTGGGGGCTGAGCCTGGGGGCTGAGCCTGGGGGCTGAGCCTGGAGGCCTGAGCCTGGGGGCTGAGTCTGGGGGCTGAGCCTGGGGGCTGAGTCTGGGGGCCTGAGCCTGGGGGCTGAGCCTGGGGGCTGAGCCTGGGGGCTGAGCCTGGAGGCCTGAGCCTGGGGGCTGAGTCTGGGGGCTGAGCCTGGGGGCCTGAGTCTGGGGCTGAGCCTGGGGGCTGAGTCTGGGGGCTGAGCCTGGTGGGACTGAGTCTGGGGGCTGAGCCTGGGGGGACTGAGCCTGGGGGCTGAGCCTGGGGGGACTGAGCCTGGGGGGACTGAGTCTGGGGGCTGAGCCTGGGGGGACTGAGCCTGGGGGGACTGAGTCTGGGGGCTGAGCCTGGTGGGACTGAGTCTGGGGGCTGAGCCTGGTGGGACTGAGCCTGGGGGCTGAGCCTGGGGGGACTGAGCCTGGGGGGACTGAGTCTGGGGGCTGAGCCTGGTGGGACTGAGTCTGGCGGCTGAGCCTGAGGTCGGAGTCTGGGGACTGAGCCGAGGGGTAGAGCCTGGGGGTTGAGCTTGGGTTGGGGGCTGACCCTGGGGGCTGAGCCTGGGGGTTGAGCTTGGGTTGGGGGCTGAACCTGGGGGCTGAGCCTGGGGGTTGAGCTTGGGTTGGGGGCTGAGCCTGGGGGCTGAGCCTGGGGGCTGACCTTGGGTTGGGGGCTGACCCTGGGGGCTGAGCCTGGGGGTTGAGCTTGGGTTGGGGGCTGAGCCTGGGGGCTGTGCCTGGGCGTCTATATAACCCAAACTATATCAGACAGCAGTTGGGGCTGAAGACTAATTTTCCACTTTTGTTCGTGTATAAATATTAGGGAGAATAGTGGTCGTGGTCGCCATCTCATGTTGGCCTCCGAATGTATGATAGAGGTGATAAGTTAGGCAGAGAATCTGCCCTTAAAGGAGCCGTTGAGCATAACCTTGAACTGCCAATAAGCAGTCTGAGAGCAGCAGTACACCAAGAACTTCAACAAGATCTTGTAGATCTGAGGCAAAGTGAAATTGACACCAGTAATTCCATCTATCATCATACTATCATGCAAGAGGAGCCACACATCTATGGTTCATCCAATAAAATCAGCAGACTTCTAGATGTTACTACTGCTCGGCTTAGACTTTGTTACAAGTATCTCTGGGAATTCTCATTATCTGCTGATGTAGACCTGACTAAATGTAAACTGTGTCAACAAAATTATTCGCACACCCTCCGTCACTATGTGATGGAGTGCGAAAAGATACGTGAATTTAGAGACAATTCTATAACCAATGTTCCAGCGATGTGTCAATATTTCATTCAAAATGATCTGCTACCAGAAATTTTAGCCAAATATCCCCAGTTTGCTAACTGTAGGTAGTAACTGAGTGATTGTAACCTATCCACCGCTGCCCACTGGATGGGGGGTGGTGTGCAGGACAAACGCATCAATTGTGACACTAGCTCTCCACATGTCAGTTGCTTAATTTAGAACCTGTACTTGTGGTCGATCTCGAACCCATTGTTGATGTGACGACTTATACTGAATTTTGTAACTAGCTCATCAAGATTGTAACTTGCTTAGCTAAATGAATTGTGGGGTTCAGTCCCTGAGCCCATTATGTGCCTCTGTAACCCTTTCCACTACCGCCCACAAGATGGGTATGGGGTGCATACCCATCGGGCCATGATGGTGGGCCACCCCGGGCCATGGTGGTGGGCCACCCCGGGCCATGGTGGTGGGCCACCATGGCCCATGGTGGTGGGCCACCCCGGGCCTCGCCTGCCCACAAACAGTACGGACGGAAGGGGCGGAGCTTGGCGGCAAATTAATAGGTCACTTGATGGATGGGTGATAGCCCCGCCCCCCTCTCCCCCTTCCTCCGACCCTCTCCCCCTTCCCCCGACCCTCTCCCCCTCCCTCCAACCCTCTCCCATCACCCCTCTCTCCCTCACTTCACCACCAACAAGTCTATAAAACAGTTTCGGTGTGTCTTGTCTTATGTGTGGGGGGGGCGGATGGCAGGGGGGGTGGAGGGGAGGGGGATGGAAGGGTGTTGGTGAGGGGGGTTGATGGGAGGGGGTGAGGGGGGGGGTGACAGTCGCGGGAACTTATAGTGATGGACGGTTCTCAACTCCGCCTACTGCCACCTTTGGTAATATCGGCGGCTGCCCCCCTCCTCCTTTACTTCTTTCTTAACCCCTCCTCCCTCCCCCCCCCCAACATCCAGTCACTCTCCTGGCCTGCCCCCCCCCCCCCACCCCATCACTGTTGTCGCATCTCCCCTTAACCCCCGCCTCACCCCACACTCTCACGCCCCTCTCTATGGCTATCACTGTTCTTACCCCTCTCTCTCTCTTCCTCTCTCTACCTCCCCCTACCCCTGTCTTCCTGCCTCCTTCCCCTCATACTCCCCAACCTCTCACCACTTGGGGAGGGGCGAGACTTGCCTGGTTCCCAGGAAGACCAATAGGTCTTGAGCACTGCTCATCACACCACAGGAGCAAGCCAGCAGCATGTACAACACCGCCCACTCCCAGCATGGGTTTACACACAGCAGAGGGGCCCATACAGCTATAGTTCTCATCTACCACCATATAGCCAACGCAGTGGCGAAAAAAGATCAGTGTAATATAGTGCTTAGCGACGTTTCGAAAGCCTTCGACAAAGTGTGGCACACAGGCCTAAAATATAAGATATCTGAACTAGGACTTCCTGAGAGATTTACTGCTACTCTCTGCAGCTTTATAGACAATAGAACTGCTAGGCTTAATATCGGCAGCTACTTGGGTGACGTAATGGAACTGAAAAGTGGAGTACCACAAGGAAGCTGCCTCTCCCCCACTCTATTCAACATATATACAGCTGACCTACCCCAACCCCAACATGGAGAATACATCACATACGCTGACGATGTCACCCAAATAATATGCCAACCGGGCCCATCAAAGCCGCTACTAGCCGACAAGACCAAGGCGGCAATTGAACTCATAAACAACTTTGAGAAGCAATGGAAAATTAGCACCAACAAACAAAAGTTTCAGATAATACACATTGCGAAAAGAAACCCGGACCCCATCATCCTTGACAACCATCTGATCCAATATGCGGAGGTAGGCAGAATACTGGGACTCATGATAAATAGAACAGGGATACAAATTTTTTCTGATAGGCAATTTTATTCAGTATGAGTTCCTTGTTATTATTTCCATATTTCCCCATTTCGTGTCGCATTCCGTGTAGTGGGGGTCTTGTATCCCCGCTACATCACTCAGGGTGTCAGGTAGAATTTTGTTAACCAGGTCATCTGATGCTGAGGAGGAAGACAGGAAGGCTGGGACAGCAATTTGGATGGCGGTGCGGACACCCAAGCCACCGAGCCTGACAGGAAGAGTGGCTTGTTTCCACTGGCATTCGTTGAGGGAGAGGTTAACAACTTTTTCCAGCATGGTCTTCAGTAAGAGGTCATACTCTTCAAGCTTTCGGCTGTCGTAAGATGGGGCGCACCTCAGAAAGTAAGTTAGCTACGGAAGGGATTGGCATTTGGTGAGTAGATATAAAGCATCGTGGGCATCGATGTCACCTATTCTGTCTTCAATCCTCCTGAGGTCTGTGATTTTCTTGTCGAGGATCTCCTCAATGGCGTTAGACCCGAGGGGGGCTCCAAGGAGGGTGCTGTTCTCGGCCCTAATGACATGGGCTCTAGGCAAGGCAGACCTTATTCTCGCTACGATGTCTGGGTTGGAGGAGACTACTTCACATATGGAAGGGTTCAGGATGAGACCCAGGCTTACTTCTTGCTTCCTTATTTTCCTGATATCTTCCAGGTGGTGGTCTACGGTGCCAGCTATAGTGCCATCATCCAAAAACCACAAGTTGAACTAGCTGGACAAGCTTTCAGTGGTTTCTTTTAAGACTAAGCAGAAAGTAGAGGAGCTAGAGGATCACCTGGGATTTAAATTCCCACAAATATTTTCCTACTCATTCTGGGGGGTGGGGGAAAGGTTATTATATATATATATATATATATATATATATATATATATATATATATATATATATATATATATATTGTGACGGTAACGCGTTGGTGTTCGGCTGTTCAAAGCTAGGGGTATGGCCTCGTCACATAGAATTAAAAAAAAAATAGAAAATCTGGAACTTCGTCTGTGGTAAGGTAAGGAGAAGACACACAAAACACAAGTAAATTTTAACAATGCAATTTTAATTACGTTAGATAAACAAAACATGAATAAAATGGACATACAAATTCGTATAATAAAATCAATCAATCAAAATAATAAGAATAATTAAATGGCAAAATGAAAAGTTACGTTAAGACGAGTGAGCAATAACAAGCTGTGCAATATACAATAAAATGAGAGGTGCGGGAATATTGGCTTTAAGCTATCACCTCTCTTAGTACACTTAAGCCAAAGCTCAGTCTACCAGGAAGAAGTGTTAACCGTATGAAAGCACTGAATATTCTGAGGACTGAGGTCGTGGCGGCTCCAGACATCGAGTAGTATGGTGGGTGGAGTGCAGTTGCAGCCAGACCGGCGGCCAATCAGCGAGTAGCCGGCAACAAGACAGGTAGTTTGGCGGTTTGAGGCTGAGCAGGTGTCCCTGCCTGCATACGTTTTGCGCTCTGGCAAACCTTGGAGATGTTGTTGTTGTTGTTGGACATTTCTTCCATAGTAGTTTTATATATTTGTTGCGACGTATTTTTGGAGGGAAGAGCAGGCTCAATCTCTTGAAGGAGATTATCGTCACAATATATATATATATATATATATATATATATATATATATATATATATATATATATATATATATATATATATATATATATACATATATAATATGTATGGGTAGTGTGGCATCCCTGCAAACAAGAAAGTGCCCCCCCCCCCCCCGCCACGGTGGCCCCCACTAATGAAGCACAACCGCCGGACCTGGTGTTGGCGGGTCGGGGGCCGGTGTCTGCGGTGGTCAACCCGCTATTTGCATACTTAAACACCCATGACCCCCCCCCCCTTAACCAGTAGGGGGCCGGGGTCGCCAGCCCCCCACACGCCTGTTCCCCCTTCCCCCTCCCTTCCACCATTCCGGAGCGGCAGACGGAGTGACAATTACGCGCGGATATCGCGATCGTCAATTGTTTTACATCTGTTGCCGTGAGCGGATAATTTATGTGGGTAATTATCCCGTCCGGCCGGTGTTGTGGTGTCTGGGCGCCCCTACCACAGGCTGTGGGGGGCTGGAGGGGGGGTGAGGGGGGTGAGGGGGGGTGAGGGGGTGTGTGAGGGTGGGGGGGGGGGCTCCAGGCGAGGCTGGCGCATGACAGGCAGGTGTTGGCTGAGGAATAAATAGGTGGAATAGGCACATGGTAGAGGGGTTGGCTTCTGAAGGCTTAAGAACATGTAAGCTCTTCTACTCAAGTGTTCTTAACAATGTCACTTGTGCCGACTTATCTTGCCCCTAGTGAGGCCCCACTTGGGTTATCTTGCCCCTAGTGAGGCCCCACTTGGGTTATCTTGCCCCTAGTGAGACCCCACTTGGGTTATCTTGCCCCTAGTGAGACCCCACCCGCGTTATCTTGCCCCTAGTGAGACCCCACTTGGGTTATCTTGCCCCTAGTGAGACCCCACCCGGGTTATCTTGCCCCTAGTGAGACCCCACTTGGGTTATCTTGCCCCTAGTGAGACCCCACCCGGGTTATCTTGCCCCTAGTGAGACCCCACTTGGGTTATCTTGCCCATAGTGAGACCCCACCCGGGTTATCTTGCCCCTAGTGAGACCCCACCCGGGTTATCTTGCCCCTAGTGAGACCCCACCCGGGTTATCTTGCCCCTAGTGAGGCCCCACTTGGGTTATCTTGCCCCTAGTGATGCCCCACTTGGGTTATCTTGCCCCTAGTGAGACCCCACCCGCGTTATCTTGCCCCTAGTGAGACCCCACTTGGGTTATCTTGCCCCTAGTGAGACCCCACCCGGGTTATCTTGCCCCTAGTGAGACCCCACCCGGGTTATCTTGCCCCTAGTGAGGCCCCACTTGGGTTATCTTGCCCCTAGTGAGGCCCCACTTGGGTTATCATGCCCCTAGTGAGGCCCCACTTGGGTTATCTTGCCCCTAGTGAGGCCCCACTTGGGTTATCTTGCCCCTAGTGAGGCCCCACTTGGGTTATCTTGCCCCTAGTGAGGCCCCACTTGGGTTATCTTGCCCCTAGTGAGGCCCCACTTGGGTTATCTTGCCCCTAGTGAGGCCCCACTTGGGTTATCTTGCCCCTAGTGAGGCCCCACTTGGGTTATCTTGCCCCTAGTGAGGCCCCACTTGGGTTATCTTGCCCCTAGTGAGGCCCCACTTGGGTTATCTTGCCCCTAGTGAGGCCCCACTTGGGTTATCTTGCCCCTAGTGAGGCCCCACTTGGGTTATCTTGCCCCTAGTGAGGCCCCACTTGGGTTATCTTGCCCCTAGTGAGGCCCCACTTGGGTTATCTTGCCCCTAGTGAGGCCCCACTTGGGTTATCTTGCCCCTAGTGAGACCCCACTTGGGTTATCTTGCCCCTAGTGAGACCCCACCCGGGTTATCTTGCTCCTAGTGAGACCCAACTCCTAATTAGACTAAGGCAAAGCTAATGAGGAGGTAGTTTTGATTAGTGTCGGGTAATGGGCGTGCATAGGGGGGGCGGGGCAATGTAGGGGGGGGGGAGGGGGATGATGCAATATGTTAGGAGATGGTGTGGTGAGGGGAGGGGGGGGTATAGGGGCGATAAGAAGTACTTCTTGAGGTTATCTTGAGTTGATTTCGGGGCTTTAGTGTCCCCGCGGCCCGGTCCTTGACCAGGCCTCCACCCCCAGGAAGCAGCCCGTGACAGCTGACTAACTCCCAGGTACCTATTTACTGCTAGGTAACAGGGGCATTCAGGGTGAAAGAAACTTTGCCCATTTGTTTCTGCCTCGTGCGGGAATCGAACCCGCGCCACAGAATTACGAGTCCTGCGCGCTATCCACCAGGCTACGAGGCCCCCAAACTAACTCACCTAGTTGTACTTCCACTCTCCTGGTCAACAAGGGTGTCCAGCAGCTGGACACCCTCATAAAGACTGTGAAGCAGTATCCTCCCCCGCGATAACAGCTTGATGGTTAAATGCAACCTCAGAATACTGAGAAACAAAAAAAAAATTGTACCACTTATGGGCTATTCATGCCCGTGCCACCTCTTGGGTGGCTTATAATCTTCATCAATCAATCAATCTAGTTGTACTCACCTAGTTTTGTTTGTGGAGGTTGAGTTTCAGCTGTTTGGTCCCGCCTCTCAACCGTCAATCAACAGGGTATGTAGGATCATGTACAGGATCATGTAGGGGCCTCGTAGCCTGGTGGATAGCGCGCAGGACTCGTAATTCTGTGGCGCGGGTTCGATTCCCGCACGAGGCAGAAACAAATGGGCAAAGTTTCTTTCACCCTGAATGCCCCTGTTACCTAGCAGTTAATAGGTACCTGGGTGTTAGTCAGCTGTCACGGGCTACTTCCTGGGGGTGGAGGCCTGGTCAAGGACCGGGCCGCGGGGACACTAAAGCCCCGAAATCAACTCA